ACAACAAAATCAATTTAAACAGAAGTTTGGTCAAAAACATCATCCGAAGGCAAATCAATTTAAGCGAAATCCTCAAAATTTCCAAAACTCACAGTTTAGACCAGCCTTACCTATTACTAATTATCCTCATAACCAAAATCATCGTAGCCAGAACAATGCTAGACAAACACAGCAACATAATGTGTTTAGGCCGAATCAAAATCAATCATTTCCTAAACCTACACCTATGTCGACATCAACTAGAAATACATTCAGACCTCAGCAAAATCAATCGTACCAAAGAAATCCAAATAACAATTATTTTGTAAATCACAACAAATCGAGACCCAATTACGTGGTTGAGGAATTATTTAATATAGACCAGGAGCCACAGGTTGACTACCCAAACGAACCTGATGATTCGAATCAAGATAACGATGGAGATCAATTTTTTCGGCAAACAGCCTCGGATCAGTAATGCCTCATTATGAGCTAATGAATACAAATAGCGATAGTGAATTACCTTACATTATTTTTCCTAAGTTACATTTGAAAATATTGATAGACACAGGTAGTACGAAAAGTTTCATTCGTCCAGAAATTGCGGATAAATATTTTAAAGATTCGATTAAAAAGGATCCATTTCAAATTTCCACGGTTCATGGAAGTTCAACTGAAAATTTCAGTACTTGATATGTTCAATACAAAAGTGAACAATAAGTTAAAGTTTTATCTTTTCAATTTTCACAAATATTTTGATTGTTTATTAGGAGTCGATAACTTGAAACTAATGAAAGCATTTATTGACCTAGATAATGAAACATTGGTACTTCCAAATACCAGTACGAAGATTCATTTTCATAAAACATTACCTAGTACAAATTGTATTATAGTAGAACCTCGTACAGAGAAAATAATCGAGATCCAAGGTTCAAATATCACAAATGGTGATGTAGTTATTCCTTATACAAGGATAAGTAATTTAGAAATACCGCAGTGTATTGCTACAGTGAAAAATGGAAAAGCCATTTGCACTATTTTGAATCCGAACGATTCATCAATAAAAATAAGTAATTTAGATCCATTGAGAGTAGATCCTTTCGCGGATTACGAGTTGGCTACTACAATCAGTGAAACTAATTTACATAATTATTGTACAGATCAAGTTAAGATCGATTTTTCTAAATTTAGAACGGAACATATGAATTTCGAAGAGAAAAATGCGATTATGAAGTTAATTAAAGATTATTCCGACATTTTTTATTTTGAAGGAGACAAATTAACATTTACTAGCAAAATTAAACATAAAATTCGAACTACAGACGAGATACCAATATATACTAAGTCATATCGATATCCAGAGATACACAGAAAAGAAATCCAGATGGAGATTATCTCTTGAGCAATATGAGTACAAAATTGTCTATAAAAAAAGAAAATCAAAAACGCAGACGCATTGTCTAGAATTGAGCTCAATGCTAATGAAACCAAGAACGTACACGACAACCCTCCAATTTTTGATTTTATTGACCAATTCAATAATCAATTAGCATCCACTTCCGGTGTACAAACACGTAATCAAAATTTAGATCAGAATGATAGTCAATCAATGATAGTAGAAGCCAATGATAGCCAAATCGATATAGATATTGAAGAATTTACCGATCAAACAATTCATTCCAGCCCCGAACATCCAATTATAGGAATACCAATAACTGATACTCCAGTCAACTATGGTAAAAATCAGATCATTATTTCACAAGTAAATTTTTCACCTGCTGAACCTTCTATCATAAAATTATTCAAGGATAAGCAGAGAATACTTATTCAGTTTTCTAAAGACAATTATGAACAAGAAATGGTAAATTTTATTAAGGAATATGTTGCACCCAAAATTAAATATCATCTTTACTTTGAACATCCCATTTACGAACAATTCTGTTCTGTATTACAGAAGTATTTCAAAAATTCTGAAATCAATATGACAAAGAGCACGAAGAAATTAATTGATATCACAGACGACACTGAAGTAGAGTCAATTATTAGAAATCACCACGAAGGAAAAATTAATCACATGCAGAACAATGAGAAAAGCATTGAAAATCAACTAAAATTACAATATTCTGTGAATCACGAGCTGATCGAAAATTTTAACTTCACTCTTCAAAATATTCATCACAATGAAAATCTATTAAAGTCAAAAATACTGCAACTGAACGAAATTGCGTATGCAAGCACTATGAATGAAAATATTCTTTTTGCAAAGGACATTTATCACTCACTTTTAATGCTTTACAATTTTATTCTCAGTACATTGCAAGATATTGAAAATTCTGTTACATTCTGCAAGTTAGGAGTTATGCACCCGAGTATTATCAGACCAAGCGAATTACACAAGGAACTTTTGAAATTATCTTCCTATTATAAAAATATGCTTCCTTATGATGTCAAATTCGAAAATATGTTAGATTTTGAATCACTTATAAAGGTACACTGTAAGATTGATTTCAATCAAATTATTTACTTCTTATCTATTCCAATTGACTTCAACGATACATTTGAATTGTATTACATGCACCCAATACCTACAAAATATGGGTCAGAATTCATGTCGATTTTTCCAAATTTCGAATACTTTTTGGCATCGATTGATAAACAATCAATCAAACCTCTAAGTGGCATTTGTACCAAAAGCAATATATACCACTGTTCTCGTCAAGCCGAAGTTAGTACAAATATATCCTGTGAAGCCAACATTTTGAAAAATTAGATCGCCAACAGTTGTCATTTTACCAAAGTCAAGATTATCGAAAATCACATTGAACTTATACCAGAGATCAACCAGTACAAGCCGTTTTTTCAATACAAGAAAAGCTAGAATTCCATTGTCAAAAGCAAATAGAATTACTAACGTTCTTATCAGGCATATACTTGATATCACAAGATAACTGCACAATCTTGTTTAGAAACGAAGCGATTACATTTTTGGACAAGAGTTTTGGCCAGCCGTTAGTCATGGAAACGCCAAATTTCACTTTAATTTCGGAAAATCAAAAGCCGAAGTTTGAAATCGAACTAAGGAAATGAAAGATATTCCAGTACAGTCATTCAACCCAATTGAATCTGAAGAAATCGATTATATCACACCCAGTGCTTGGACTATTATCTTGTACATTTTATTCACGTCTCTGGGCATTCTACTTATTTATCGAAAGTTCAAGAAGAATAAGAATGCACATACACATCCTGCTCCAATTCCAAGGAAGTCACATACAAATGATCCAGAAGAAATCGAGCTACCTTCCAGGAAACTGAATCTCCCAGGAGAAGCTTCATTCTAGAGGTGGAGGAGTTATAGGGCTACCCTGTAGAAGCTAGAAAATAGAAAATGCAAGTCAGCACATCATCGCAGCGCCTAGCAACAGTTGAAATGCAACATGATATGTTTCCTGTTTTACTCATGCTAACGAACATTGTACTTGTATAATTAAAATTTAGTCTTAATCTAACTTTCGTACCATCCACTACTGTACTTTCGGAAATAAATATTTTTAAAAAGGCACTTACGTTATCCCGAAATATTAGTTATATATATATATATATATATATATATATATATATATATCCTGTTAGAAACAATTTATGTTATTTAGGTAAAAAAAATAGCAAAGATGAATTTTTCAAAAGCGCTATGTGTTTCTGTTCTTTCAGGGTCCGTTCAAATGTGCTATGTGCACATCACATAGCGCTTTTTGCACTCGATAGGGGAGACCGGGTACAAAAGTAACGGCGGGTCGAAAGTAACAAATGCTCTCTAGATTTATCCAATGGGCGAACACCGCTGCGCCGCCGTCAGGCGATAGCGCCCCCCTTAATTTCATTCAGTCGCCGCATGCGCCACGCACTGTTAGGCTGTGTTTTCACATATCAAAAGTATGTTTTTTAGACGTTTTCTTATTTCATATTTACGTAGTCTTAAAAGAATGATAGTAATCTGAATGTTTGGATATCTATTTTTGATTAGAGTGATTGTACATTGCTTAAATTCATTTTTGAGTAGCACGTTCCGTTTCAAGGTTCAGTTGCTCACTTTATCAAAAATGTGGACGGGTACAAAAGTAACATAGCCCTGTGGGTACAGGGGGACAAAAGTAACATGTTACTTTTGTCCCCGTATCATATTTAATTATCAATCATATTTTTCTTACTTATTACGTACTTTTTTATTTTACTTACTTCAACAGAATGCCGCGACAACGCATAAGGACTACTGAACGAGGAACTACCGACACAGAAGTGTATCTAAAAGCGACTGACGAGCATTTCAAAGATGGTGCAAAAATTAGAGGCATGGCAAGAAAGTATAATGTTTGCCATGTAACATTATATAGATATATAAAAAAGTAAAAGCAGGAAGTACTAACGCAGTTGTGGGCTACCGTTGCGTCAACCGAGTTTTTACTAATAACGAGGAAAGTAATCTACGCGACTATTTAATCGAGTGCTCTGCAGTTTATTTTGTATTATCTCCATCTGAAGTACGTAAACTGGCATACGAGTTAGCGATTAAAAATGGAAAAACATTTCCTGAAAAGTGGCACGATAGTCGAATGGCGGGTAAGGAATGGATGACGGGTTTTTTAAAACGACACCCGAGCTTGTCTTTAAGATGTCCTCAAGCAACGAGTGTGTCACGGGCTTCAAGTTTTAACGAGCATAATGTGAGTAAATTTTTTGGTAACCTTGCTGAAGTAATGGATAGGTACCAATTTGAGCCAAAAGATATCTGGAATATGGACGAGACAGGGGTAACCACTGTCCAAAACTTAGGAAAATTGTAGCTCAAAAAGGAATTAAACAAATAGGTGCAGTAACCTCTGCAGAGCGCGGAAGACTAGTAACTGTTGCTGTTGCCATTAATGCTCAAGGAGGACACACCCCGCCTTTTTTCGTATTCCCGCTGAAACGATTCCAAGACCATATGATACGTGAGGGTCCTGTTGGTTGTGCTGGAGCTGGAAATGCTAGCGGATGGATGCAGGATGCAGAATTTTTACTGTTTCTACAACATTTTAAAAGACAAGTCAAGCCACAACACAGTCGATCAAAAATGTTTGTTACTGCTCGACAACCATGCATCACATGTATCTATTCAAGCTATAGACTTTTGTAAAGAAAACGGAATAGTACTGCTATCGTTTCCACCCCATGGCACCCACAAGATTCAGCTTTTGGATAGAGCAGTATTTGGGCCATTTAAGAAAATGATAAACACCGCTACATACAACTGGATGCGAAATCATCCTGATCGAACGATGACTATTCATTACATTCCTGGTATTGTTAAAGAAGCATTTCCTCTTTCTGTAACTGATAAAAATGCAATTGCTGGATTTTCCTGTACCGGTATAAGTCCATTTAATAGGAATATATTTACTACTGTTGACTACGCGCCATCATCTGTGACTGACCGGCCATTATAAGTTAACGGAGAAGTTTCACCACATGATATGTTGACTAGTTCTGACGCAACGTCATCCATTCAAGTTGATCCAAGTACTCCAGTTGGTGATCTTCCAACATCAGTTGACCAGAATGTTCACCGTACAGATAGCAATGATTTATCAAACAAATCAAACAATAATGTTCAAAATATACCGGACCTCATCTCTGCTAGCACTGATCTTCTGTCAGCTAACTCAATTTTTGATCAAAGATCCAAAACACCAGTGCGGGAACCTAGCGAGCTGCAACAAGCAAATTCTATCCAGCCGTTTAATTTCTCACCTAAAGATCTTAGACCTTTACCGCAAGAGGATCCGAGGACTGAAACAAATAAAGGTCGTAAAAAACGAAAACTGCCATTCTCACGGACACTCCCGAAAAAGGAAAATCGGCCTGACGACGAAGATTGCTTCTGTCTTGTCTGTTTTTTGGCAATAGTCGACCAAATGAACAATGGATACAATGTATCGGATGTAAAATGTGGTCCCTTGTGGAATGCGTGGGTGATGATAACAATTATGTGTGCCATAATTGCGATTCCGAGTAGGATAACAATGACTAAATTATAAAAGTCTGATTATAAAAGAAGGATTAAGATTACTCATTACTTAAATTAAAACTATTTTTGTTTGATTTGTTTTCTTAAAATATATAATTTTTGTAATATATAATTTTAAAGTTTATTTGTGTTATCAATACAAAATTTTGAAATAAATAATTTGTTGGTTTGCCATGTATAATATGTATTCATTACCAACCCCTATGTCTTGTTACTTTCTACCCACAATGTGTTACTTTCGACCTGCCTATGTGGTTGAAAGTAACAACTAAGGCTTTTTTTTATTTCTATTATTCCTATAAAACACAGCATAATATAATAAATCGAGTTACTAGTCTAAGGGCCAATTTCACCAACATTAATATTTGACGGTCCCTTTTACCAATGGGAAAATAGCTTATCGAAATGCAATTTGACGGAAGCTGTCAAAGGTCTCTGATTATCAGTGATTTCTATTGAAATATTGAATAAAATCGTGAAAATTCGACTGTATTATAAACAAGACCACTTTTTGATTCCAACATGATGCTTTTGTACAGAAAAAACAGGACAACTTTCATGTATTTTGATATATGTTATAGGTTTACATTTAACCTTTAACTACACGCGTTGGTGTATTTCATACACCACGCGCAGCAAAAATGTTATTGTTTTCTCTAAATCGGCGGCACTGACAACGCGTAATCTAACCTATGCTTACTCTTCCCTGAATACCCACCAGCAGTCGTTGGTCAATAGTCGAACAGAGAGGTTAATATTTCATTGATTTAAGGCAAGGAAACCACTTGGTGCACAGAATACACCGCGCGTGTAAGTATGTTTGAATAATTTTTAATTTGTTGTTTTGTTACTAAATATGTGATTTTATAGGATTTTACTCATTTCAATTTATTGATAATAAGGTATAATTTTCTGTTTTAGGGAACGCGTCAATATCAAGGATCCTAACCGTCTTACAGAAGAAGAGCTTCAGACCGTAGCACAAGTTATTTGGGACGATGATTCGGAAGAAGAAGTAGGAGGTAAAGCAGATACATCGGAGGAGGAACTCATTGACCAAAGCGACCACAATTCGGCTTCTGAACAAGAGAGCGATAGCGAAGAGACAAACGTTTCCGATAGTCATGAAGCGGCTGAGAGAGGCGAAGCATATTTTGTGGCGAAGGATAAGGTAACACGATGGAGTAAATTCCCACTTGTGAGTAAATTCAGCAAAAGTAGTAAGAAAAATATTGTAAAAATATTTCCTGGACCCAAACAATGTGCTAGAAATATTGCTGATGAAAGGAGTGCATTTGAAACATTTTTTACTGAAGATATCATTGAAATTATTCTTGAATATTCTAATACAGAGATTGAAAAAATGCGAGTGAACTTTGATAGACCCAGAGATGCAAAAAATATTTCGAAGACTGAATTAATGGCATTTATTGGATTATTATATTTAGCTGGACTAAAAAAAGAAAACCATACTCATTTCTTGGAGTTGTGGACAACAGATGGGACGGGATGTGAAATATTTAGAGCTACTATGGGCTGCAACAGATTTTTGTTTATCCTCAGCGCTCTTCGATTTGACAGCAAGGCCACGAGAACCGAAAGAAAAAAAATTGATAGACTTGCAGCAATTAGATCTGTTTTTGAACGTTTTATCAAAAATTGCGAAAATAACTATTGTATTGGCGAACAAATGACAATCGATGAAATGCTAATCCCTTTTCGTGGCAGATGCAGTTTCATCCAGTATATCCCAAACAAGCCCGCCAAATATGGCATAAAAGCATTTGTTTTATGTGATTCTAAGACATTTTATGTCACTAACATGGAGATATATTGCGGCACGCAACCTGAGGGGCCCTACAAAAAATCAAATAAGCCAACGGATATAACACATCGCTTAGTTGAACAATGGAAAGGAAAAAACAGAAACTTGACATGCGACAATTAGTATACAAGTTATCCACTTGCAAAAGAGCTGCTTGACCAGAAGGTAACATTAGTAGGAACAATAAAAAAAAACAAAAGAGAGCTTCCATCAGAGTTTCTCCCGGATAAAAAGAGGCAGGAAGGATCATCGATATTTGGATTTCAAAAAGACATCTCCATTGTATCATTTGTTCCAAAAAAAGGTAGAGCAGTAATTTTGTAATCATCAATGCACAGCGATTCATCAGTAGATTTGGAGACGAATAAACCACAAGTCATTTTAGATTATAATTCTTACGAGGGTGGAGTAGATACGGTCAATAAAATGTGCAGCACATATTCTGTATCTAGAAGAACTAGACGGTGGCCATTAGTAATATTTTTTCAGATGCTAAACGTTACAGGAATAAATAGTCAAAGCATATTTTTGTAGAACAGTAAACAATTTATTTGATGTTTTTTATTCAAGGAATAGGATGTCAAAAAAACCTTATGAGAAACCGTTGTCACCTGCTACTGAACAATATTTCAATTTCTTAGAAGAAGCGAAGGATTATTTGAAATCGTTAAAATTAGGAGACACTAGAGTTATACTTTCTAGAAGAAAATTAGGATTTTTGGGATTCATAATTTCAATAAACAGTTATGTATGAATGTATGAATATAGAGTCAAAGAAACCAAAGAGCTGAAGTACCTTCTCACATATAAGTTATCTCAAGATCATTTGGAAATTTTCTTCAGTTGTATAAGAAGCAAAGGAGGATACAGCAATAATCCTACCTCGAAGCAGTTTCAGAATATTTAAAAAAAATTATTACTTCATACTGAAATAAGTGGCAATGAAGCATCCAATGTCGTGGCATTAGATAGCACATCCATTTTGCACTGTTCATCATCATCTTTAGAGATCAAAATTAGTGAGGATATGACCTCATCATCAAACAGTATAGAGGAAGATGAGGATTTTATACAATTTAAAAACTTTCTTCAAATAAGTCCTTGGCAGCTTACACTGTATCTGGAAGATGTTGTTGCATATGTTGCAGATTTTGTTGTGAAGAGGCTAAAAAAGTCTATAAAATGCCAGAGTTGTTTAGATTTGTTAGAAACTTTAGGAGAGTCTATATCGAAATTACAAATAAGAAAAACGTATGGAAAATTAGTTAAAGCCTCCGCTTTTGTAATAAATGTGTGTAAATATGGAGAACATTGCTTTAGGTTATATAAGGAAAGGTTAGAAGTTGGCAAAAAAAATATGACAAGAGTTTCACAAATATTAACAAATTATACATTGCAAAATTTACCTCTTGGATTCGGAAATGTGTTTAAGGACCATGTATTCGAAGATGAACCTATAAGTAATCATTTTCTATTGCTCTGTAAACAAGTTTTAGAACAATATGTTACCAAAGTTGTACCATTATACCTCTAACTTGAATGTCCCTTCAAAACGTGTACGATCATTACTCACAAAAAGTATATTATTTCAAAATCAATAAAACCTGATAATTACAAAAAAATAAAAAGCAAAATTATAAAATGAATTATAAATAATGACTTAGGGAGAGTGACAAGTCCAAAGGAATTGTTTTACTGAAACACTACACAAAACCAAATAAAATAAACCTCCAAACATGGATTGACTACTATAAAATAGTGTATAAACCTACCCCCAATGTTGACTTTAGCTTTTTAGATGTTTTACATCCATATCTGGATCAGCATATATCAATACAAGAACTTTTTGACGCGCTAAATGGCTATCAGAGTCTACAGAGTACGCTAAATCCCCAAGTATACCGTTATGTATAAAACGATTTATAATCCAACTTAAGCTCCACAATAAATGAGGAGGTGATCTGCAAACCGCAGTTTTTGAAAAAATGGCAAATCTGGGTTAGGCATGTGATCGTATATTTTCAATGGTCCTCTACCCGATAAAGCTAATTAAAAACGTCAAACTGCAGTTTTTCCCTTTGTAATAGCTAGTGAATTATTGTGGTGTTCTACAAAGCGCAGTATTTTGTTTCAACTAGGAATAACAAAACGCAATTTATTACTCCATGCTTGGAAAATCATAGCGCAACTTCAAATCCTAACTTGCTGATCAAAATTACACATGCACGACAAAACGCAGTATTTCTTTGAATAAAGCGGGAATTACATTACGAAACTAGTGGTATGAAACTAGTGTCATGACAGTAGTTTCATCAATAGTTTCACGTGTAAATGTTAAGTTTCACAATGCGTGCATTACTTTCATGACACCGATTTACTTTCGTGCGGCGCGCAATTTTTGAACGACACTAGTGTTATGCCACCAGTTTCACGATGTAAACGTGACGCGAATGTGCGAAACTAGTGTCACGACAGCGCTTCAGAGTGGATGTGTGTTTTGTGGCCGTGCACGTGCAGATTGTGAAATCGTGAAATATTCGTTACAAATGGCGAATCAACGCTGGACAGCCGATAAAAATATACAGTTCATTAATGAATACCAGCGAAACGAGTGTCTTTGGGATCCAAAACACCCTGACTACAAAAATAGAGATGCCCGAGACGCGGGGTACAAAGCAATTATGGAGGTTATGCAGATGGAAAGTGTAAAAGATGTAATTTGCAAAATACGAACACTTCGTAATACTTACAACAATGAAGTAATGAAGACAAAAAAATCTAATACTACTGGTATGGCAACCGATGAACAGTATATCTCTAAAATACCATGGATCCCTCATATGGATTTTTTAAAAAATACTGATGGTTATGCCAGAGAAAACACAGAAAATTTGGTAAGTTTTTTATTATCAGCTTCCAATATGATTTTGCATTTAATAAATCATCCTATCTTGCCATTCTAAACGCCCTTGCCCAACAAAGTAGTCAGTATAATGCTCGCGTATCCGGTGAGCATTTCTCGAATGGTTTCCACTGAAATTACCCAGTGGCCTAAATGAGTTCTGTGCTATAGTACGCCATGATCCTTCCACTAAGTCTCCTGTTTCTGAGTTTTCTTCATCAATCAGTCCTGGCTCAATGTAGGTTGATGATCGGGTCTTCAGCCAGTTATGCAAGACACAACATGTCTTTATAATTTTGTCCACAGTTTCTGGGAGTAGAGCAATAGGCTTTTCAAGTATACGAAATTTGCTAACCAACACTCCGAAGGCATTCTCTACAGTCCGGCGAGCTCTGCATAGTCGGTAGTTGAAAATTTTTTGTTTTTTCGATAAATTTAGTCGACGACTATATGGTGTCATAAGATAGTCAGTGAGAGGAAACGCCTGGTCCCCCAATAAAACCATTCCTTCAGGGGCGTTCAAAGACATTTCCTCCAACTTTTTTTTAAAATTTGATCTGGCAAATACTCCTCCATCAGAAGCTCGACCATAGTGGCCCACATTGATATACCTGAATTTTAATTCACTGTCGCAAACTGCTAGGAGGACAATACTGAATGTGCCCTTATAATTATAATAGTCACTTCCAGAATGTGCTGGACATCGGATTTGAACATGTTTGCCATCGATTGTACCACCACACATTGGAAAATTACATTTATCATTGAAGCCATCCATTATCTCCCTCCAAGATTCTTCTGTGTTTGGTACCTGTAAAGAAAATTCAAAATTTAATTATTGTTTTAGACACCCAACACTGCTTCACAGGGTTCAGCTTCAGGATCCAGTAATGATGAGTTTACCATACCACGCACACCTACAAGAAACAGAAGGAAAATTGCAGATCCGCTACTTAAAGCGGTACATATATTGGAACAGATTTCCTCGCAACACGTGCCTAATGCAGGCAATGATGAGTTTGCACTGTTTGGGCAAACCGTAGCTCAACAGCTACGACAGCTTCCTCTGGAAATTGCTTTAGAAACAGAGGAGATAATTTTATCAACAATAAGAAGGCAACGAATCAGTTCTTTGAAGCAACAGTCGGTATCTCAACGCAATTCATCGCCACCAAGACCAAAGTCCACGGCTTCTGCCAGTAGTGCCATCAATAACGATAAAGAAGATGCAAATCCCACTGGTTACAATAACGATGTACTTTCTCAAGCTATTGCCAGCATAACGGAGAGAGAATTGGACTTTGATGAGTATTTTTAGATTTGAGTATCTAACTTTTCAACTGTATTAAATAAAAATGTTTTGCTTACCTGAATGTAGTCTTTTAATGCTTCATAGATTGCGATTAGCACATCAGGTAGAAATTTTGATATACTACATGGTGCCACTCTAAATTCGTATGACAATGACTTCAAACTATTCCCAGTTGCTAGAAATCGCAGCGTAATTTGAAGTTTTATTTTTGGTGTCAATGCTGCTCGACATGTCGTATCCTGCTTAGTGATTTTGTCAGATACTTTATCCAATAAAAAGTTGAAGCAATCTTCACTCATTCGAAAATAGTTTGTATAGCTCTCAGGATCTTCATCTGCTAATTCGGAAATTAACTGTACTGCACCCAGATGTCTCCTTGCTACCCATCCTCTAACCCACCAACGCTTTTTCTTTCGAGCCATCCTCTTTTTCAGTTTATATATCAACATCTGTATGACAACATCTTGAACTGCAAAATACAGCTTCGATGCTGACGGCGCCATGATCACAGCGATACTGTCGATTTCACGACACTACGAAACTACTTGCACATGAAATGTTGGTGAAATTAATGTCATGACACTAGTTTCATACCACTAGTTTCGTAATGTAATTCCCGCTTAAGTGGGGGGATATTCAGACGGCTGTGAATAGTTCAGTTGTTTACCGGCAGTTACTAAGTGTGTGTGTTATACTTTTGCGATCTGTTGCTGCTAAATTACGCAATATTTCGTAATTAAAAATGGATGATAGTAGTCTAGTGCTAGTTAGTGACGCATCTGATGTTTCGAGAAAAAGAAAACGAACTATGTCTAAACGAGAAAGGGCAAAAAAAATGCAGTAAGTTTGAATATAAAAGCAAGTGAGCGGAGTTGTTTTATATTTTTTATTGTTTTAGATACATGAATCATATGCGTTGCTGAAGATTTTGAAGTGAAGTGCAAGCATTTAAAAACTGCACTCCAGTGTCATGAAGTTTCTACAGAGGATGTAAAACGTGTTAGAGAGTTTGTGTATAGACAACCAGTAAAAACGATAATAGATAATAAAATAGCCCACTTGATTGAAGTTAAGCATCCTAAAAGGAAAAAAAGTGAAGAAAGATTGACAAATAAAGGCCAAGCAATTAGGCTGGATTATTTTTTAAGAAATATTAACTCTGAGAGGCTGTTAGTGTGTCAAAAGACGTTTTTGGAATATCCTTACTATCGGAAAAAAGAAGGCAGAAGGGCAGATAATTGAGAGAAGGGGAGGTGATCGGAGAAGCAAAAAATACGAGGAGCAGTTAAACAGTGTTAAAAAATTCATTGGGAATTTACATGCAAGTGAAAGTCATTGCAATCGTAAGAAATCGAAGAGACTTTATCTTTCATCTGACTTGAATATTGCGAAACTATCAAAACTTTATAATAACTCTGTAGAGCTGAATTTAAAAGTCTCGCGTCGTTATTTTTATAATATTTTTGTACGCTATTTCAATCTCGGCTTTGGGAATCCCGCACAAGATGTATGTAGTCTATGTACCCGTCTGAAAAATACAATTAGATCCATAAAGAATGCAGCTATGAAAGGAAAATCTATTACTGAGCTGAGAATTCATAAATTGAGAGCTAAACAATTCCACCTTTTTTTGAAAGCAATTCCGGAGAACAGCTTCACAGTATGCTTTGACTTGGCAGCAAGTCCAAGCGTTGCCTAAAATGAACATAGGGGAAGCATTTTATTTACGTCAACTTGCTCTATACAACTTTTGCATAACAGAACCTAGTACAAGACTTACTACTTATATACTTGGACAGAGAATCAAGCGAAAAGGGGACCGAATGAGATAGGATCAGCCATATACCATTTCTTGACAAATCGCGAGTTTCCAGAGAGTTGTAAATTAGTTAGACTATTCGCCGATGGATGCGGAGGACAAAATAAAAATTCTTTCATCATCCACATGTTGATGTTTTGGCTTTCCACTAAGGCACCTAAACATATTGAAGAGGTGGTCCTGTATTTTCCGGTGAGAGGTCATTCTTAGCTACCTGCAGACAGAGTATTCGGTCGGATAGAGAAGATCTGCAGAAAGCGGTCTGAAATTACCACTAAGGAAGAATACTGGAATTTCTTTGGAGAAGTTGGGAATGTTAAAATGATGGGACAAGATTGCGACTTGTTGGATTGGAAGGATTTTTCTAGTACAAAATTCAAGAAAATCAGTGGTATACAAGAAGTAAAGCGAGTTCATTTGCAAAGGGTTCGTGTTTTAAAATTCTATTTTATTAAGGTGTTATAACGTTCAGCGAACGCACAAAACAATGAGCACGCAGAAGAATGCAACCGATTCACTGGATGATGGAGCAGCTCAGTTAGCGCCCGCGTCGCAGTCGAGAGGTGGCCAAACCCGCGGTAGGGGAACCAGAGGTCGTGGTGGTCGAGGAGGCTCACAAGGTAGAGGAGGTGCGCGAACACCAACTCAGACCGAAGCCTCACAGAATCAAGCCCCCCCACAGACAGTCACAGCTACGGTAGCTAAACCGGTACAGACGAAGGATAAGAGCTTAGAGCCTAATAAGAAATCAACGAAGGCCTCTCCTCTTAACAATGACCCTATGTACCAGGATGTGGATCTTGAGGGATTCTATCCGATGAGACAGGTTTATGCAAACCGAAAGTTCACCCCAACGTTCGAGGGATTTATTCCACTCGTTAAAGAGGTATATAATCAACTGAGTGCTGCAAACAAAACCGTATCAAAATACATGTATCAGAACTACTTGAAACGAGGTGCGAAATTAGAAAATTACCAACCTAAGCAAATTGAACTGCGCAATAGCATTAAAAAAATTAAGCTTGAAAACGTTGAAACCCTATTAAAAACGTATCAAGAAGACTGGGAAGATAATGAAACCTTCGCTTGGTACAAGAACCTACTAAATGAAAGAAGACATCCAACAGGAGACGAGGAAGAAACATGCCCAGAATCCGACGATGTAGATCCAGAGTTGTGTGATTGTGCTGAGGAAGACATTGGCTTGAAAATATAATTATATAACTTTCCGTTTCATTTATGTTTCATATGAATAGATTGGTTTTTCAAAACGCAGTTTTAATAGATGTGGAAAATCAAAATGCGGTTTTTTGTTTGTTTTTTTGTGTTAGTCAGCAAACGATAAGGACCAGATTTCAGCAGGTTAGTGTAGCCATTTCGTTGTCTCTGAAATTTGAGGTGGTATGTTTGGCTTAGCATTCTACTTCTCCATTTACGCACCTTAAAAAAACGTCTTTATCTCAAAACGTTGAAAATTCAAAGACTGCAGTTTGCAGATCACCTCCTCAAATGTAGTCTCAAAATCTTCCTAAACAATATTTCATGCAGGGTTGACCAAACAGACTATTGTACAATATGTAATACTCGAAAGACCGAATCTTTAGGACATTTCCTCCTGGAATGTCCATTATACAATCCATTGAGAGAGCATATTCTGTCAGATCGTTTGAACCAAGTCTGTGTCTTTGCTTGCCTAAATAAAACGAATGAGTTGAATTTATGATACAAACTTTTTAAATACTTTATGGAACTATTTAAGCTAAGATCTTTCTTAAGGAATAAATAGTTTTTTGTGCCTTCAATATCAAGACAGAATATTTAAATTGATGCATCAATTATTTATTCTTTTTCTGTTTGTTTATATACCTTTGTACTAGGTATTATGAAACAATAAACCTGATAATTAAGTTCCAATAATAAAACCTTGTTTACTTCTCTGTGTTTATTCTTTTCACTGCCATGGAAGGTGATACTGGGTGTATTAACCAGAACCCCATTACAAAAAAAGCACCTACGCCACTGGTGGAATCAGCTGTGGTCTGCACATACACAGCTTATTGTTTGTATTTGTTTTGAATTGGGTTTGTTTGTCTTCATGCATTACAGTGCCGTAAGAATGGTATGTCTATTTATATTTTTAGCCTGAGATCAAAACAGTATGACCTCTCCATCCTAAAACACCGATATGTGTAAAACATGTTAATCCCTACATCTCCGAGGTGCATAATGCAATTACTGTAGACATAGACCTAAAATTATTAGTAATTACTGAAAAATCAGAGCTAAAAAGAATTATAAATAGTGATAAAATATTGATTGTTAAGGTTTTTGACTGGTGGGGATACAATATAGGGATGACGGCGATAGACGATACATTGATGTATCGAAAACATCGATACATCGGACGTAGAACATCAATCTTTACGCATCGATGGTTTCATGACGATATATCGATATCGAGAGGAATCATAAACATCCGTAACCGTATACCCCGAGTCTATCCTTAACTGTGCTACCATCTCTAAGCGAGGACTGGTAGCTAGAAAGCTGTTTAGGTGTTTAGTATTATTTGAATATTATCATTACAGACGAGCACTGAGCCACTGAGCACTGTAGTCTTTTCTTCATTCTGTACTTCCCCAAGGGATAGAATAAAATAGACCATGTGACATACATATACTGCTAGTAAATGCGTTACGTGCATTTTAGGTCAAAATTTATAAATATGCACCATTTTTGTTTGAATTTATTATTCAAAATCTATGTATACAATCCGATGTCATCATAATAGCCCAAAAACTATACAAAACTTCCAGAATTGGAAGCTTTATAACGTTTTTATCGTCTCGCCTAAAGTCTTACATTTTGCACATAGCGGATTTCGAAGGCGCCACGACGATATGAACTGGCGCTGAAATACAATATTTCAATTTCTAAAAGCTGGCATGAAGCACAGCTCACTGGTGTCGATTGGCTGTATCATTTCAGAAAACGTCATTCAGTTTAAGTCTGAGGACCCCAAAAGGCTGCAGTTTGAGCAGAGCCACATCTTTTAATAGACACAATGTTAAAATTTGTTTTGATAATTTGCAAGAGGTCATGCAGAAGGAATCAGGCTTTGGCAATGGTACTAGTGTATTTAACCTAGATGAAACCAATACAATGACTGTACAAAAATCAGGGGAAGTCTTAGCATTACGAGGACAAAAACAATGAGCAAAGTTACAAGCGCAGAGAAGGGATCGCTCGTAACAACATGCTATTGTCAATGCTTTAGGTCAAGCTTTACCTCCAGTGATGATCTTTCCTCGAGTTCATTTCAAGCATCATATGATATTTGGTGCTCCCACTGGTGCTCCGGAACTTGCAACTGCATCTGGATGGATGACTACTGAACTGTTTGTGCAAACAATACACCATTTCATCAAACGCTGCCAAAGCAGTAAATAACACCCATCATTGCTCATTATGGATAATTTTGAAGCCCACATATGTATCTAAGCCATCAATATAGCAAAAGAAAACGGAGTGAAAATCTTGACTGTCCCTCCTCATAGCACAGGAAAACTACAGCCTTTAGATGTTGCAGTATTTAAGCCCTTTAAAACTGCTTACAATGCGGCAGTAGATAGTTGGCTTATGAGGAACCCTGGGAGGACTTTTTCTATATACGAGGTAGTTCGGTGCGTTAAAGAGGCACACCTGAGGTCCATAACCCCTGCAAATATATGGCTTTCAGAGTACAGGTATATATCCTTTCAACAAAGATACATTTACAGATTTACATTTCACACCAAGTGACAGACAGATTTTACAATGTCCCATCAATAACCCGGCCAGTTCGTGTCAACAGATCTCTAATCTAAATACCGCAAGTTCTGAAGCCGTTGATGCTATTGACAGAATCGTGCAAATAAAAATACCTGAGTCATCTGGTCTTTAATACCAATGGGTCACGGAACAAAGTCCATTGCCTTCCATGCTTTCGCCTAAAGTTATACATTATTTACCCTGTCTCCAAGTGTGGAAAGTCTCTAGCTTTCCAATGCAACTTAAATCACTAACGTCTATAAACTGTCCTGGAACCTCGAACGATCCCAAAGGCTGGTCCTAGCAAAATTAACCAACCGTCAAGACGTAAGGGAAAGTCGATTATTGCTACCGACACTTCTAATAAATTGGAGATTGAAAACCGCAATGCCGCGAGAAAAAGGAAGAAGAAAGGAAGCAACTAGTAAGTGAAGAAATTCAGTGTTGAAGACGAGGTTGAAAAACATAAAAATAAATACTAGGGAGCAGACACAAAAAATAAGAATACTAAGAAAAAGAAAATATTACAATCTGAAACGAGCGAAGAGGAAAGTGATTATATGAGTGTTCATTCTGAAGAAGAAGGAAGTTCTGAAGACAAAGAAAACAAATTGTTTGAAATACCAGACAGTTGTGGTCCTGTGGACTCTCGACATGAAGAAGGTGATTTCATTTTGGTGAAATTTAACGTTGGTACCAGAAAGATCTTCTATGTAGCAAAAGTGATCGGAGAAGGGAGCAAACGTGAAGTGGAAGTAAGTTATTTGAGGAAATCCTCAAAAATAAGAAATTCCTTCCTATTGCCAGATGTTCCAGACATTGCAACAGTTGTGACTGATATTAAACTAATTTTACCGAAACAGATTTTCTCTGAGGGAACTAAAAAGCAACAGGGAGTCTACAAATTCGATATAGACTTTTCTAGAATAGATTTGCGTTAGTTCCTTGATATAATTATCCATTATTGTTTTATCATTTGAGGATGTTGATTTATTTTCAGTTAACAAGGAATACTTATGCAGCTAAAAGCTTTAAGATTGTCTTGAGAATATCAAAGTATTTTTCAGTTGTCTAGTCACCCAATATATCGCCACGATGCACGAGCCTTTGGTTCCTATCTTGGTTATAGCTTTAATATTGCAAGCAGTAGAAGCTGAGAGGAAAAAGTTGATCCACTCTGCCCCCTGTTCCCCTATCTGATAATTTATTTTTAACAATGCAAATTTGTACAAAACCATTTCTTATTTCCGATGACTCTTTGATGTGGATGTAACTCGAGTGTACAGGACCTATATGAATGATAGTTTTATTACTGGTATTCTCTCAGATATACTGGATTCTGTTTTTGAGATGGTCGAATGCAAGATTGAGGACATGATGGTTGTAGATGAAAATTTTGATCCTCTGATCGCGCCTAGAACAGTCGGAATCTAGCAACGTCGTAATTTTACAGAACCTAGACCGCGGTCCGATAGTCGTTCACGTCGTTGACATCGCACTCACGGCCGGACCGAATGCCTTCGTTACCACTTTGATGTTAGCGTGTGACGTCACCTATTGCGTCACGGATAGCGTTTACGCAACGACGATGAAAAGACCTAGACCTTTCTATTTACACTAAAACGCGTTGAAAGGATAAATATTAGGGAATTGCAATGTTGCCAGTTACTAGCTGATAGAATTCCTAACCTGGTAGTAAACAAACCTCAAACAAATATTTCATCGTGTAAACCAGCTATTTGGACTCATGAAAATAATAAAATTGTTAACATTCTTGAAAATCTGCATAAGCAATAGTGAAAAGTAGAAAAGTGAACTATTTTCGTATTGAATTTACCGTTAGCGAATTGGAAAGAGATTTCCTTCAGTCACAGAGCTTCAGACGACATTGGCAACGTCGCATTTTTCTTATGAATGGACATTTTACGATAGTATAAAGTGCGTATTTTATGCTTGAGTTGTGGATTTTCACAAATCATTATTTTTGTGCTATTTGCCATAAGTTTGTTAGTGATATTGAACTGTTACCTGTTGAACAATGGTGCGATCGTGTTATGTGTGCAAGATAAACAGCAGTAATCCAGAATCGGCCAATTTATCATTCCATCGGTAAGTAAGGTTATGTTTTCATATCATAGGCGTGGCAATACAAATTTTACTGAAAAAATTATCATAAAACAGTCTTTTACCATCATTTTAGTAACTTTTTGTAGCTTCCTGACGAGTTTATATGAATATATATCCATCACTAGCAGTATGATACAATTTAAAGATGTTCTGGGTGTAGTTCGTCAAGTACAAAAATATCCACATACACAATCTTCATGCAACTTAAGTAAACGTGATTTTGCCATGATTTGATTATATTTTTGTGCTAACTAGTTTATAATCATTAGACAGATCATTGGTGTAAGACATGTGTTTACAATTTTAGACTCCCATCTGACCCAGCAAAGCGCATTTTATGGATTTCACTGCTTGGCATTGACTGGGAGAAAACGTTGCCGAAAGTGGCACTGATATGCAGCAAACATTTTCATGATAGGGACTTTGAATATGATTCTGCTAGAAGAAGGCTTTTGAAGGATGGTGCTGAACCAGTAGATGTTCGCTCCATACATGATGAGCAGGAGTATGCAAGGTAAATATGTTTGTTACTTTTTTGAGTTTTTTTGACATGCTATTAATAGCATACAGATACATTTGCCCTATATATTCATATTGATTAATATTTACTCAGCATTTCTATTATCTAAAGTTTGAAGAATTAAAAATGTGTCAAGATTATACTTGTACTTTACTCTAGACTCTAGCCCTGTAAATATTTACTTTGTTATTGTATCCATAAGTATCTTAAACAAACATTATTATTCCAGCTCTGATTCAACAGTGACACTTACTCCATCAAAGGAATCAAGCTCAGAAGCCCATAGCAGTCAAGGGAGCCCTGTCAGAAAGCGGTGAGTAGAGTTCTATACGGACTTGAACTATTCTCATATAATAAGCTTATACTACATATTATTATCAAAATAAACAGATTGGCACAGTAAAATAAGTCAGTGCCTGTGTGCTTCAAGTGTGCTTTAATAAATGCAATTCATACATTCAAGTACATTACCAAACAATTATTGTCAAAACTTATCTAAATAGTATCATGTGTATGTCAAAGGATTTTGGTTGTTTACATGTGTTATGTCCAGTATTTTATGTATACCTTTTATTTTAGATTGAGAATGGAAGAGTTAGCTATACCAGGGCCTTCCCATGTGGTGTGAGTATTCTCTTAATCTAAACCATTTCATTTACTCATGTAGAAAATATTTTAGCTCAAGTCATATTCCTTTTCCTGATGAAGCTTCTAAGATGGTAGAGCCTCCAGAAATTTTGCAGTCATTCACATCATCCAGTACTGCAACTGCTTCTGAACAGGAGTATCAATTGGCAATTAGAGGCAATGTCACCAAACGAAATGTCAGAACACCACGTAAAAGAAGGTATTTGAGGGAGACAAGAACTTGTTTCTTACTAGCTATTTTGTATCAAGATGAAATGATATATAATATTATTTAATGAATAAAGTATATAGTTGACACATTTATCCTTTTCAGGCTAAAACGTTATGTTGGAGATTTATCAAGTGATGACTTTTCCACTCCCAGAAAATCAAAGTCAAATTATCGGTTGATGAAAAGTTCCCTAATGACATTGAGGAAAAAAGTAAAAAGTCTCCAAACAAGTGTTGCTGCTTTGAGGAGAAGAATAAAAACTCTAAGTGGCTTATTGAAACTTTTGAAGCAGAAGAATCACATAACAGATTCAGCTGAAACTGTATTGAAGGTAAGCAGATTGATGAAGACTGTGTGTCCCAGATACCCGAATTCATTTGAATGGAGCAATTGATCAACTTTTTTTTTCAATATAATAATTTTCATTACAACACACACACAACACTCAACATACCATAACTGGTCAGAAGACCAGTTGTAATCTTGCTCATTGAAAATAAGCATTATCATCTTATCACTTTTGCACATATAGCTCCATGATTTTTTTCTTTTAATTATAGCATTTGATATTCTTTTTTTATTCGTATTTTGTTTATTTTGACTAATACTTGTTACAACAAGTATACATATCGTCATCTAACCACAGCAGGTCATGAGACTGGTTATGGTAGAAATAGAATTGAGTATGGGTATGTTCAGTGTTAATATCTTAGTTTCCTGATGTTATTTATCTTGCATAAATGTAATTAATACTAGTTTTAAAATACTCATTCTGTTCAGATTACATGATTTAATTGCATTCTAAATACTTAATATCTCTTTTAGGCATCTCTTTCTGGTATGCCTTTGGAAATCTTTGAAAGAATGTTGAGGGGGCGTACTAGCCAGAAATATAACCCTGCCTTGCGGTCATTTGCCCTCACGCTGAGCTTTTATTCCCCAAGAGCATACAATTTTGTGAGGAAGACATTTAACCTTGCTCTACCCCATCTGTCAACAATAAGCAAATGGTATAAGTCGATTGATGGTTCACCAGGCTTCACTGAGGAATCCATTGTGGCCTTGAAATTAAAACAAGGAGAAGCTTCAACCAAAAACTCTACTGTTATGTGTAATTTAGTCCTAGATGAGATGTCTATTCGGAAACAAGTTGAATGGACAGGGAGTAAGTTCACGGGGTATGTTGATATTGGGGCTAACATAGAATCAGACGTTCTACCAGAAGCAAAGGAGGTGTTGGTTTTTATGTTAGTATGCTTGAATGGAGCATGGAAAATTCCGGTGGGTTACTTTCTGTTGGATGGCTTGACTGGTTATGAAAAGGCAGAACTCGTGAAAAAATGCCTAACCTTCATCCACACTTCTGGAGTTACTGTAGCATCATTAACATTCGATGGTGCTCCAGTAAATTTCACAATGGCTTCTTATCTAGGGACAAATCTGAACGATGTAACAAACTTGAAGACTTATTTTCTCCATCCTATAACGGGTCAAAATGTATACATATTCCTAGACCCAAGCCACATGATAAAATTAGTCAGAAACGCTTTTGGTTCCATCAAATACTTAGGTGATTCTGAAAACAATCAGATAAGTTGGGATTATTTGGTGAAGTTAGTTGATGTGCAAAATATCGAAGGTTTACATTTAGGCACAAAAATAAGAAATCGTCATCTACAGTGGACGAGAGAAAAAATGAGTGTCAAAATAGCTACACAAACTTTAAGTAGAAGTGTTGCTGATGCTTTGACCTATTTATCCAAAGATTTAAAACTAGCGACGTTTGCTAATGTGGAAGGTACCGTAAAATTTGTTCAAACATTTAACGATATTTTTGATATTTTCAACTCTAGAAACAGGTTTTCAGTTTTCAAAGTACTTATTTAAGCGCCCACTTTCTCCAGCTACTGCAGATACATTTTTCAAATTCATGGACGAGGCAGTTCAATATATCCATGGATTGCGACTAGGTACTCTCCCAATAATACATTCTCCAAAAAAAACTGGTTTTTTAGGATTTTTGATTTGCATTCGGAGCTTGAAACAGTTTTATAACTTGTGTATTGTAGAAAAGAAAGTTTTAAAATATATTTTGACAAATAAATTATCACAGGATCATTTAGAGCTTTTTTTTGGAGCTATTCGTAGTAAGGGATGGTACAACAATAATCCCAGTGCAAGGCAGTTTGAAGCTGCATACAAACGATTGCTGGTGCATACAGAGATATCTGGCCCAGACACAGGAAATGTTGATAACCCAGAGCGTTTGACTATCTTATCTTGTGGCAGTGGATATCATATAACCAGGGCGGACGATGGTGAAGATCTTTTAAATAGCCCAGAATTACTTCAGTTTGAAGAAAAAATAAAAAACGATCTTGCCCTTTACCAGTGCACACCTTTTGCATGGAATCTTACAATTTATACAGAAGATG